AAAAGAAATTGCAATCATCCAAGGGTTTTCATTTGCCACTCTCTTCATGCCTTTGACAAAAAATATTTTATTCCTTAACGACACTTCTTTTCAGTGATGACATAATAAACATTTAATAAAACTAAGACAGAATATACATTAAAATGTCAATTGCTTGCAAATTCTACAGACTCCTGGAAGCAAAGAAAAACCTACAGAGAGAATTTAAAACAACGTGTTATATTGAATGAAAAATATATATATATAATATTTATTTAATATTATGTTAAATAATATACAGTTATATTGTTTACTAAATATTAAGATATATTTTTAACATATTTAATAATATATTTAATAATATATGTGTTTTTCAAATTTCTTTTAATTGTCACCACAAAACCCATTCTTTTTTAGGGTTTCTCAAATGCTAGCGGTAAGGACACAGGTGTAAGTGGGGTAGCCCACGTCCTGGGCAGAGCGCTGGTGAACCGGCAGGGCTAGGCCTGACTCAGGCACTTGGAGTTGGGATGAAGGGACAAGGCTTACATTGCGGGGACGCAGCCTCTCACGCCCTCCTTCAGACACAGACAGAGCCCAGGCTGATTTCCGCGAGCAATCCTGTGCCCGTCCTTGCACAGCTGCACGGATGGCCTGCAGTCTCTCAGCCATCTCTTGAAATCACACGGACCACCTTCTATCGATTAACAGTTCTTCTTAATTACTCACACTTGGCTAAGTCAGGTGGCCCAGGCTTCCAGTTTCTCCTCCGCTAATGCCCATTTAAGAGCCTTCCTCTGAGTCCAAGCGCTTTTCTCAAAGAAGAGCAAAAATTTAACTAGCAGTTGACTTAAAATTGTTCACAGATTGGGGGGAGGGGGAGGGGTAGTGAATGTTGAAATTGATGATCCAGGGTTATCCCAGGCTTCCAACTAGAGTAATTCAGGAACTCTAAAACACCCTTGTTTTCATATTTTACACCTCTAAAATAATGATGCTTCATGAAACCAACAGTATATCACAGCTTGAAAGCAATTTTCTTTTTGTAGTGGTGCATGAAACAGCGGTGCGTCTTAAACCTGATAGCACCTTGGAGTAAAGAAAACACAATACCCATGTCAAAGGTCAAGCTTATACGTTGTGAAGTGGGAACTATATACAAATGAGCAAGACGACTAAGCCAACAGGGAGCAGAGGAGACAGTGGCAACGACACCACAGTGCCATGATCTCAAGAGCCGCAACTCAGATCCACTAGCTGCTGCCCGGCGAGAATGTGGCTCCCATGAAGTCAGAGCTTTACCATTTTCCACGAAAACTCCCGGGCTTTAAAACACGACAGACAGCACTAAGCAGGGTCCCTGGGCAATTCTGACCTGGAGGCCATCAGTTTACAACCCTTGACATTTATGTCTATCTTACTTTATCCTGAATAATTTAGCTCCGAAGACTTTTCAAGATACTTGGAAGAGAGGGAGCATGTTAAAAACGAGGGTCATAGACTCAAACTAGGTTCGAATCCTGGCTCTACAACTTAGTCACTGTGAGTCCTTATGCAGGTCACTTCACCTCTCTGAGCCTCCACTCCTCATCTATAAATCACAGCATACCTCACTGGGTTTTTATGAGGACTAAATGAGACAGTAAGCATATAAAGGCTTAACACAGTGCCACAGAGAATATCCTTGTTTGTATAAAATAAAGAGGGAAGGCAACATACCATCCCGTGTCAGGCTGGCCTTCATCTCTATGCCGTCTGCCTCATTCTAACCACCAAAAAAAAATTTAAATGCCATACCTAAGGAAAAAGCTATCAAACTTTCACTCAGCAGAAAATTCCATAAATAAAGGACACATTTTTATGTTGTAATAAAATATTCCAGAAGGTTAACAGCAATATTCACGAGCAGACTTTGCCAAACTGTGCTGCATCTTGCCAAAAAATAAACAAAAACAAAAAAGCAAAAACAAAAAACCACCAAGGAACTAAGCCAAATATAGAAACTAGTCCAAACTGTTCTGACTCCAAACCAAATCTGATGCTGGGCCCTGAGTCAGAAATTTGGCGAATTTGCTAACCCCTCCAACACCAAAGTCCTTCATCTGATAACAATTTCAAATGTGATTACCTAAATGGGCCTAATTTGGATCTGGTGAATATGAACCATAATTCACCAGAGGAACCCTGGCCAGGAAGGCACAACAAAAAATAAACAGCATGTGTGCTCACACAAGCAAAGCCCGCATTTAATCCCTTTCATTCGACAAGCTGGACAGACCTAGGAACAATGCCCACTGTCTTGGCATCCCGTGGTTTTCTGGGTTAATGCAGTGCTTCATCACCAGTGGTACCTAGAGCTAAAGCCTCTCCGTGACAGGGGACAACTCAGTGCCCACCAAAGACACAATAATGCTTTTCATCAACCTCCAATGAACACACAAACATACGTCTATGAAATCTGCTAGGGACGAATGCCTATTTTGCTAAGAGGTTTATCAGGTGACTCTTCCACCTGGCAATCAAAATATCTTCCTGGGTGATGATGACCCACTGCACACCAACTGTATGAGCGGAAATGCACGCCTTGGGAAGACTGTTCCACTGGGCTCTCAGATGCTCTTAGATGCTCAAATCTTCCCCTTGTTTTCTAACAGAGGCTAATTCAGGAAGACAAAGCAAGCTGTGCAAATTCAACCATTTCTTGTTAATATCCTACGAAGGCAATCCCTGATCTTCCGAAGGGCAGCGTGACAGCATGAAATCACCCATAAAAAGCAAATACCATGCACACATGAAATCATCAGAACCACCTTGCGTTTCTTCCCCACCCCTAGTAGGAGAAACTGAGATGGATGTGACCTGTCTTTTGGAATACGGTGTGTGTAGAACAAAACAGTACCAGCAACTTGGCCATCGGTCAGTCAGTCAATATAATGTCTTCATCACCTCCTGCTATTCCCCATACAGCCCCAAATCCCCCTCCAGCAAAATGAAGGAGTGAATTCAGTCATACTATACACATACATACACACACACACACCCCGATTCTGTTTACATTCCATCCCTCACTTTCACCCTAGACACCAGTTAAGATCACCAGAATTAACTCACCTAGACAAAAGTGGTAAGATGTGCTCTGGGTTGATTCTGACACTAGCTGTAAATGCAGACAAAGCATAAACTACACTGACATGCATGTGATTCATTTACCCAGTTGCATTTCCCAAAATGCTCATTTAGAAAACGGTTTTTTCCCCAGGATTTTAAGAGTAATCATGTAATTAAAAAAAAAAAAAAAAGCCCTAAGATGAGAGGCAGCCGTCTTTATCCCCACAATACTTCCTGCCCCTTTGTTTGGGAATGTGTTTCTCACCACCTTTCTAAAAGCTCACTGACAGCCCTCTGCTGCTATTAATTAAATGGAGAAGTAGGAATGAAAGAGAAAGCTCCTCAAAGAGAAAACCAGGAGAGGAGATCCCCCTGGGTAAATGAAACAAAGCTACTTTTCATCCATCCCCTCGGTCAACGGCACGGAAATGGGGGTATTTTACAAAAGTCCAGCATGGCAAAATGATCGGAAACGCCAATCACATTACTCGCTTTGCGATCACTCTTTGATAAAATCAATACCACAGCAAGCTTTACCAAGCACCGTTGAAACGCACCCCCGACACTTTCCCCACCCTAAGACACCTATTCCATTACACACGGAACGCGCGCGCGCACACACGTACACACACACACACACAACCAGGATAGGGAGAGAAGCCATAACATTGTCGAGTCTCAGATAAGAGCCTCTCTATTAACCCCACCCCTATCACCAGAGAAAGAGGGGGTCTCAGAAAAGAAAGGAGAGGAAAAAAAGAGAAACCCAGAAATCCCTTTATTTCCAGGCATTAACTTTTCATGAAATGCACAACCAGGATAGGAAATACCTCCCCGCTGAGTAATGCCTCCTGGGTTGTAAATGCACCTCTCGAAAGGGGAGCCAGCCCTGAGCGCGCACCCGGCCAGATGGCCAAGCCCTCCTACCTGCTCCATCCAGCCTGCCCGTCACGCCGCGCCGGCGACAGTCTCCCACCCCTCTTTTTGGCAGCGCAACACACCAATAAGGGTCGAGCCTGGCTGGTCGCGAGAGGGCTGAGCTGTGTTAGCAGGATCGCCTCAAAAGCGGGGAGTGGGAACCCGCGAGGAGAGAGTGAGGGTAAAAAACAAAGCCCTTTCCAGGCAAGCCGACAGCCTCGGGGGCGTGGTTTACTTAATCAGCTTCATCAATAAAAAAGATCAATGGAGCTTCCTCCTCCCACCCGCCCCATAGGTGCTGGATCCTAAGGAGGGAGAAAAGATGGCAGGGCTGCAAGCGTCCTCCAAGTTTCCAACAGCACCTGCCACCAAGCGGGATCTCCCCCTCCCACTCCAAAGAAACCGAAATGCACACTCTCGGCTTCAGATTCTGCAAGACGGAGGGTCGGACACGCACGGCTCACAAGGTTTCACCCGCTCCCACCGTAACAAGCACACACACGCAGCAGAGCACTTGCTGACACCATCACGAGAAAGTTCCAGGGGGGGAGACAATCCAGGTTTCCGCCGCGGCCCGGGGCTCCCCCGAGCGGCGCGGGTCTCTCCAAACGCGACACCCATCATGGACTCCAGGGCTGCAGGGGCGAGAGGCGGAAAGTTGCCCCACGGCCCCGGGAGACGCGGCGCGGAGGAAAGGGACCCGCGGGCGCAGAGCCGCACGCGCCCCCCTCGCACCCAAAGTCGGGGAGCGCCGAGGGAACCCCAGCTCGTGCCGCTTTATTTACCAACAGAGCGCTGCGCCGGGGGGAGGGGACGCCGGGCGGAAGATTGTGAGCACCCTGCCGGGACCCCTGCCCCCGGACGCGCCCGCCTTTGGGGTGCCCCTGCAGGCGCGGGGCGGGGGGAGGAAACGAACGTCCAAGGGGGTCGTCCCAGTGCCCGCCGCCGGGCGGGAACTCCCCGGGGAGTCCCGCGGGGAAGGGAGCGCCGCTCACCTCTTCTTCCGAAAGTCCATAGACCGGCTCCCCGAGCCCGGTCGCCATGGAGCCGGCGCCCCGCACGGGATCGGAGGCGCTCCCGGGCGACTGGGCTGCGGCGCGTCTGGGCGGCCGGGTCTCACTCCTCCGCCGCCGCCTCCGGGGACGGACGGCCGGGCGCTGCAGGTGAGGGGGCCCGAGCGCTCGCGCCCCAGCCGCTGCCTGCGCCGCTTCCTCCCGGAAGGCTGCGGGCCGTGCGCTCCCGAGAGCGCGCCGTGCAGCGGGCGGCGGCGGCGGCGCGGCGCCCCCGGGCTTCCCTCCTCCCGCGCGCGGCCCGCCGTTCTCCGCCCCTCGCCCAGCCCGCTCTCCGGGCTCTGGAAGCCGGCGCGCCCGCCCCCACGCCCGCTCCCTCCCGGCCCCCGCTCTCCCCGCCCCCTCCTCCGCCCCCTCCCGCCCCGGCGCCGGGAGGGGACCCTCCCCGCCTCCCCGGGGCGGGCACAAGCGCCCCCCAAGCCAATCACAGGCCGGGCTGGCGGGCGGGCCGCGGGGCTGGCGGGGTTCGGCACCCCCCACACCCACCCCGGTTCCCCACTGGCGCCCCCGGCCGCCTGGCGGGTCTCGGAGGAGTGCGGGCGCTCGGCCCTGGGAGCTGACCCACCCTCCTCTACGCTTTGGGGGAGCAGGAGAGCTGGGCATTTGGGGGCGCTGGAAACATTTTCTATAAGAAAGTCCCATTTCTCTTCCCCGAGGTCTTTCTACGAAGAACCCTGGGCTCGCCGTGATTGTTAAAGGGGGAGGCGGGGGAAGATGGATGTTTCTGGACACCTTTAAATTTTTGGCAAACCCCGGCAAGCCCAACTTGGCGGCTTTGTGGGCGCCCCGGAGCCGGGCCGCGCGGCCGGGGAGAGGCTGCCCCAGCGTGGCCGCGAGCCGCCACTGCCTGCGTCAATCTTGCCGGGAACAAAACCCGCTCTGAGTACACGCCCACCCCTTCGAAAACCGACAGCGTGGCTCTCTGAGCCAAAGGCCACTCTTTTGTGAAATCGCAACGTGAAATCGCAGACTCAAGTTTAAGGTTATCCTCTGCAGAGGCAAGCTATTAAGACGTCGTATTAGCCACGGTAGGGTTCTTCCCACGTCCCGGCTACTGTTTCTCCAGCAAGCAGTTCATTTAATCTATCAGATGTATAGGAACGCCAGAGACCAAATTAAAGAGAAATTAGTCATTCGACTTTTTCAGGAAGCCTGTCCTTACATTTCGTTGTTAAGTACAGTTGTGGGTTCAGAAAGGAAACAAAAGTAGAACATGCTATTTGCCTTTGAAAAGAAAACATCAAAGTGTCCTCTTTGGTATTCACAGTGTGCGTTTAGGATTTTCACTGAAGTCAGTTGTTTCAGAAAGCAGTCACGTGGTCCCAGAGCCTCCCCCCACCAAGCCCGACCGCAGCTCCTGTTTTAAGCATCTAGCTCGTTTTCAAACGAAGGGAAACACCCGTCCTAATAGAAGCTTTCCTTTGCCTCCCGACGACACGGCTGTGGCTTAAAGTTGTGCGTACGCTGGATTTTCTTTCCAGACAAAGCCCCTTGGCGTCAACACCCTACTCAGAAGCCTTCTCCCCACATCGTGAGCCAGTAAATCACAGGGCTGAGATGCCACAGAAGCCCAACCGAGGAAAAAAAAATCACATCTATGGAGGCACAGTTAAAAAGATGATTCTCTGTACCTTCTGTCCGGGCCAAAGTTTTTTTACCTTTCCAGATCTAGATTATTTTTCTTTCCATAAAGATTTGCAAACACACACACACAAAAGCCCCCACAAGAATTTCCATGTGCTCTTCAACAAGCCTGTGATTTCTGCAGGAGTTACTGCTCCTGTATCCTCGCTGGCCAGGTCTTTGCCAAGTTTTGTACAGTTTTTCTTATGAGGGGAATGGTAGTCTTTTTCAAATTTTAAATAGAAACGTAATTTCTAATTTCACAAGACACCCTTCCCACACCTTGTATTGTAGTGTTAGTCGCTCAGTCGTGTCCAGTGCTTTGCAACCCCGTAGACTGTAGCCCACCAGGCTCCTCTGTCCATGGGATTTCCCAGACAAGAATACTGGAGTGGGTTGCCATCCCCCTTCTCCAGGGGATCTTCCTGACCCAGGTATGGAACCCAGGTCTCTCACATTGTAGGCAGGCTCTTTACTGCCTGAGCTACCAGGCCGTGTACAGTTCTGGGCTTTGTGGAGAGGTGAGGCTCTATCATCTGGGAACTCCAGGGGTGTATCCTACTTCCTCCCCCTGCCCCGTCTCCAGGGTTCTTCGAGCATGCACCCATCACAACAGTCTGCTCCTGCCTGCACCCTGGGGTCACGCCCTGGGCTTTCCCTAAGGGATACTATGAGAAACTACAATATGAAACTTGCCTCACGTCATGTACTGCAGAGGTGTTGATAAAATTGTGATCTTTACCATTTAGTGTTTCCTGTAAGAAGATTCAAACCAGATATTTATTTCAGACCTAGGAGGAAAAGCCTGGTTTCTTCCAAGGACCTGGTAAGCTTTTGCAGGACGAATGGTGACAAGAATTATTTCAACTAGTGTTGTTTTTTAGTCACTTTGGTTACCAGGAAACTCAGGACTCATTTTATGGCCCTGAGTCATAAAGTGAAAGTCACTGAATCGTGTCTGACTCTTTGCGATCCCATGGACTATACAGTCCATGGAATTCTCCAGGCCAGAATACTGGAGTGGGTAACCTTTCCCTTCTCCAGCGGATCTTCCCAACCCAAGGATCGAACCCAGGTCTCCCACATTGCAGGCGGATTCTTTACCAAGGTATCAGGGAAGCCTTGAGTCATAAAAGAACCCCATAAAAAAACAAATCAATCCCTGTGTAATTATGTACCAGCTTTCCCCCAATATGGTGGATACACATTGTTATCATCTGAGGAGCTTTAAAATGATCAAGAACCCAGTGGCAGGCCTAAGAGACTACAGTTTCACTGGTTCAGGGTAGGCGCACAGGCAGTGGTAGTTTCAGGAGCTTTCCAGGTGATGCTAATGTCCCTGTAAGGTTGAGAATGAGACGGTTGGATGGCATCACCGACTCAATGAACATGAGTTTGAGTGAACTCCAGGAGTTGGTGATGGACAGGGAGGCCTGGCATGCTGCGGTTCATGGTGTCGCAAAGAAACGACTGAGTGACTGAACTGAACAAGGTTGAGAATGGCAGCCAGGGCCAGAGTGGTTCCTAAACTTGGCTGCACATGTCTAAAACCACTGCTGCGTACCTCCCATCCCCATACACTCTGATTTAGTTATGCAGGGGTACTACCTGTGCATCAGGAGTTTTAGAAGCTCCCCAGGTGATTCTAATTAAGGCACAGCACCATCTAGAGATCTCTGGTTTAGACTGATATTCTTCACCTGTTTTCCATGGTCCTGATCTTTTCTCTTTCAGTTTAGAGAAAATCACATCTTTTAAAAACATACTTAAATCCTTTGTGGATATAAACAAATGTACTTTGTGTGACCAGTATCATGGACCAGTTTTACCCACCCCTTACCTCTCTGAAGTCTCAGATTGGCATCCAACTTCTTACAGGAGGGTAGTTCAGAATGCACAAACTTTAAGAGAATTTTGTCCGAAGTCTTTCCCAAAGTGAAACTGTCATGCATTCTTCAATTGGTTCCACGTCTACCCAACAATTATATAGAACCAAACTTGGAGATTCTTCTCTGGAATTTGTTCTATTTTGCTCCCTTTGGAGGCTGCCTCTAACATCTTAGATGTGATACTGTGGGTGTTTGGTAAATGCTCTTTACTTGGATCATCAGAAATGAAAAATTAGCAAGAACAATTTAAAGTACAACGTACAATGGGCAATCACATAATAGGGAACATTTAATGCGAAGCCTCTTTACAAATTACTGAGTTAGCAAGTTAGCTTACTCCATCGAGTCTGGGAAGCTCCCCAAGCTGGATAACACATAGTGTCACATATCTGCATGTTTCATGTAAATAACACTGGATTTCTTTTCAATTTTTGGTATTTTGTCTTCTTTAAAAAGAAAGCTTATGAAGCAGACATTTTGAAGATGGCCCTGTACCTGTAAAATCCTATGTCATCTTGGGACTTAACAATGTTCACTGACATATGGAGGAATCTCACAGATTTAAGGCGTTTAGGATTATATAATAAACCATGCTTCAAACTTTCAACAAATAGAGAGGTGGGTAGCAAACTAGGACTTGTAAATAGCTAATCTTTTTGTATAAAAGTAGCTGGGCTTTTTAAGAAACACATTTTGAATACCTATGTGTTATTCATTCTAGCACCCTAAAGATGATAAAATTTCTAAGGTAGAGGAGCATGATTCCAATTTTGTCCAATCTGACAATATACCTGCTTTTTATTTGGCTATATTAGCTGTTTGCACTTTCCATTTATTAATATTTCTAAAATATTTGATTTTTCTACTTTTTAATACATCTTTTTTTTATTGAATTATGCTATTATTGTTACTTGTTTTTTTATGGTATGTTTCCCTCTCCTAGTTGGGATGTTAATCACTACCTTTCTGCTCTTTTCCTGTTTACCTTGGTCACCTTACACACATACCTTGCTTGACAAGTCAAAAGCTAATATCTTAATCCCCTATTTGAACAATACAAAAAGTTTAAGGCACTGCTTTTGATCATCAACTCCTTCCGTGGTATTACTGTCCAATTTTGTTCTGTCCATTTTTTAAACCACATTAGATATTTTTGTACATTTTTTTTAGCCTTACCGATATATTTTGTGGTTTTTTTCGCTTCTTAGACATTCCTCTGAGATTACTTTCTTCTTTAAAGATATCCTTCTAAATTCCTTTAATAAAAGTCCCATCGGTGATAAACTTAGTTTCTGTTTATCTGAAAATGTCTACCCTCATTCATGCAAAACAGTAAAACATAAATTAGAAGCAGACTCTAAACCACTGTGAAATGTAGAAGGAAGTAAATATTCTTAATGTGACTGAGTTTACCACCCCTACCTTTCTGAAGTGTTGGTTTGTAAATGAATTTATTTGGGG